ATGGGATGCCACAGGGAAATTCCAGGGAGGTTGGTTGAAATTTCCTTCTCAGTCCCTGACTGGCTGATGAGCTGTTAAGGTGCAAAGCGACAGCTTGCAAGGCTGTTGTAGTGCAGAAAGCTGGAGGGAGAGGCCGGTGTCCCTTCTGCAGCTTTAAGAGAATCATGGATAAAGGAGAAGCAGTGGAAATACGAGAGGATTGTGAGTTCATCTTACACTGAGGGAATACTGTGTGTGAACTGGAGTGCCAGCCTCGTGCCTTGCTCTGCTTAGGTACTAATCCGTATATACAGTGCTCAGGAGAGCAGAAAACACAGGGATGGCTCTGGAAGTGCCTCCATCTCCCTGCTGCTTGCTGGGAGCCCCCAAACAACTGGAGCTGCTGTTCCAAGCCATTCTCCCAGGTACCTGGATGGAGGCTGGTGGTATCCAGTCCGTCTGGGCACCTCCGTCTTGTCTCTAAATAGGAGAAGCTGCCTGGAGGTAGACAAGGGCCGCAGAGCCGGCCGGGAGCAGCAGCATCACCCCATCACCTTGCAGCAGCCTCGGGGGCTCCAGCACCGCTCCCCGACCCCGGTACCCCCGGGCCCGGCGGGACGATGCTGCCCTCTGGCGGCACCAGCGCAGCGCTGCAGGTGGTCGGGGTGTGCCGGGGCCGGCACATGGGACCTGAGGGTTTGGTTGGGATGAGCTCTGAGGCAGAAGCTCTTCCCTGGGAGGGTGCTGAGGTGCTGGCACAGGGTGCCCAGAGAAGCTGTGGCTGCCCCATCCCTGGCAGTGTTCAAGGCCAGGTTGGACACAGGGGCATGAAGCAAGCTGCTCCAGTGGAAGGGGTCCCTGCCCGTGGCAGGGGTTGGAGCTGGATGAGCTTTAAGGTGACTTCCAGCTCAAACCAGTCTGGGATTCCATGACTCCATTAACCTGATTTGCCTGCTCCTTTGGGGTGGTTACTGGGGTGCATGTGGACACTGGATTTTTTGGTCTCCCAGTAGATGCCTTATGGACTTGTAAATCTTCAGTGAATTCTCCTGATCATATCCATCACTGGACATCTCCACACTTCACTGAAGGTCTCTGGAGCAAGTTGTCTTATTGAAACAGTTCAGCCACAGAATCCTAGAATCCCAGACTGGCTTGCTGGTGCTTTCCGCACAGGGAAGAGCTTCTGCCTAAGAGCTCAGCTCAGTCTCCCCTCTGGCAGGTTAAAGCCTTGGCCTGTCCCTACAGGCCCTTGTCCCAAGCCCCTCTCCAGGTTCCCTGCAGCCCCTTCAGGCACTGGAGCTGCTCTCAGGTCTCCCCTTCAGGAGCCTTCTCTTCTCCAGGCTGCCCCAGCCCAGCTCTCTCAGCCTGGCTCCAGAGCAGAGCTGCTCCAGCCCTCGCAGCATCCCCATGGCCTCCTCTGTCCTCATTCCAACAGCTCCAGGTCCCTCTTGTGCTGTTGCCCCAGAGCTGGATGCAGAACTGCAGTGGGGGGGGGGACTCCGTGTTTTGAGGACAGGGAAGTGCTAAGTGATGAGAGGGTCCTTGCGGTGCAGAGAGCAGTAACGGCCCGTTTATTGCACAGGATTCACTCTCGGGATGCTCTGCGCTAGGAACGAAGTAGTTAAAGCCACGCACCGCACAAGCAGCTCGTGTTGTGTTGTATAACAGACAGATAACACGTTATCCCCAGCATCTGTGCTCCAGCCTGGGCGAAAAGCTCCAGACCTGAATTTCAACCCGTGTCAGCATTTACAGCCCAGTCTTCCCGTTGCTGTCACTTAACGCAGCAAATGACCGGCTTCGCGTTAATCTGCCTGAACATCGAAACTCTGGGAGCCGTTTGAATGCATCCACCAGACACCGAGTAGCCAGGCGCAGCTTTAAAAGCGATTCGCTTAAAAGCAGAGCAGGGTTTTGTGTTTGAGGACAAACAGAGAGCTCAGCTCCCGAGGGAGCTTTGCAGCCCACGGGACGGACGGGAGATAAAGCGGCCCTAGGATGGGCGGAGAGGGGGGGGGAAGCATTGTTTTCTACAAAGAACAGGAAACGAGCCTCAAAGAGTACATGAAAGAGACCTTAAAACAAATGCAGATCAGCAAAGGGGGGACCTGCAAGCCCAGCTCCCAGCTGCCTGCCCAGGGCAGCCCCTCAAGCTGCTGCTCTGGCCTGCGGGGAAGATGAGGGACCCTTGGGGTGCCAGGACCCGATTGTCCCTCCCGAGTAGGTCTCGGTGAAGCCAAAAAGACCTGGGTTCACCGTGCGGAGAAGGGACCCGGTTATGGTTGGGCTCAGTGATCCTGTACTGGGCTCAGTGATCTTACGGTTGGACACAACGATGTTATGGTTGGACTTAAATGATCTTAAAGGTCTTTTCCAACCTAAATAATGTGATGATCCCATACGTCCCTTGCTACTTCACCCGCGAGGATGGGATTAACCCAGCCAGGCCAATAAGAGGATGCTCTAAGGCTTGCAGCTGGACCCATCCCAACCATGGGCTGCTCCTTCGGTGCCACCACCACACATCTCATCCTCCACAGCATCTGCCCCCTTCCACCCAGCCTTGGTGCTGGGTGTTTCAGAGTTACTCCTTAGGGGCACGCGGAGGAGAGGGGTGACTGGTGTGGTGCCCCATGAACTGCTCACCCCATGGCAGAGCAGCGGGAGCTCAAATAGAGCCGCCATCAGAAGAAGGGAGATCACAAAGATGCAGGAATGCACCAGCACTGAAGGGATTTCCTTATGGAGAGGTCCCTTATTTGCTCTTCAAAATGAACTGACTGGGTTTGGCCCCTTTGGAGCTTAAACCCCTCTGCTGAATGTCCCCATTTCATTTTGCTGCTCCTAATAAAGTCAGGCTCCTGTTAGAGCCAACTGGCAAAAATCATCTGCAACGTACCAGAAAGCCATTTCCTCCCATACAAGGCAAGCCAGTGGCCTCCTGCCAAAGGGGACAATGGGGGACTCTGAGGCTGGTCCTGCGAGCCCTCGTGTTCCTGTTTACTTGGAGGCTTGGTCCTTGATCAGAGAGATTTCTCTGGGTGTTTTTGAAGCTGATTTTAACGGAGCCGTTGGCAGCAGTGCCCACATCCTGCAGGAATCCTGCTCCTGCGCGGGCTCCTGGGAATGGTGGCAGTGCTTGGACCTTCCCGAGCTGTGTGCAGGGAGTCCCACCAGCTCCATGGCTCTGCCGAAGCGTGGCTGGGTGCGATGGCACCGCCTGGGCCTGGCGGTCCCACAGCCATGGATCCCATGGGCTGCAGGATTCCCGGCTCGCCATGTTTGTACCCCGAGCACAGCCGTGGGCTGCCCATCAGATGAGAGAAGGGAAAAACACCACGGTAACCCCCACGGTGGCTGTTATCTCATCCTTCCTGCAGCAGAAAGCCTGACCAACACCCACCCTGGCTTTATCAGCTGCCCCGGTCCCGGCACCGCTGGCAGGCACAGCCTCAGCAGTGGCCAAAACAGGGGATGGGGATGGGAACGTGGTGCTCGGGACAGGAACATGGAGCTGGGGATAGGAACCGAGATGGGGATGTGATGCTGAGGATGAGAACGTGGTGCTGGGGTGGGAACATGGCACTGGAGTAGGGAACATGGCTCCTGAAGATGGAGCTTGGGAATGGGAACGTGGCACCTGGGAATGGGAATGTGGTGCCTGAGGATGGGAATTTGGCGCTGGGGATGGGAACATCGCACGTGAGGATAAGAATGTGGTGCCTGGCGATGGGATGGTAGCACTGGGAGTGGGCACATGGCGCTGGGAATAGGAACATGGCGCTGGGAATGGGCACACGACGCTGGGAATGGGCACACGGTGCTGGGAATGGGAACAGGGCGCTGGGAATAGGCAAATGGCGCTGGGAATGGGAACACGGCACTGGGAATGGGAACACGGCGCTGGGAGTGGGAACACGGTGCTGGGAGTGGGAACACGGTGCTGGGAATGGGAACATGGCGCTGGGAATGGGAACATGGTGCTGGGAGTGGGAACATGGCGCTGGGAGTGGGAACATGGCGCTGGGAATGGGCAAATGGTGCTGGGAATGGGAACACGGTGCTGGGGGTGGGAACACGGCGCTGGGAATGGGAACATGGTGCTGGGAATGGGAACATGGCGCTGGGAGTGGGCACATCGTGCTGGGAATGGGAACATGGTGCTGGGAATGGGAACATGCTGATGGTAATGGGAACATGGTGTTGGGAATGGGAACATGGCGCTGGGAATGGGCACATCGTGCTGGGAGTGGGAACATGGCGCTGGGAGTGGGAACATGGCGCTGGGAATGGGAACATGGCGCTGGGAGTGGGAACATGGCGCTGGGAATGGGAACATGGCGCTGGGAGTGGGAACATGGTGCTGGGAAAGGGAACATGGCGCTGGGAGTGGGAACATGGCGCTGGGAATGGGAACATGGCGCTGGGAATGGGAACATGGCGCTGGGAATGGGAACACGGCACTGGGAATGGGAACACGGCGCTGGGAATGGGAACATGGCGCTGGGAATGGGAACATGGTGCTGGGAAAGGGAACATGGTGCTGGGAGTGGGCACATGGTGCTGGGAAAGGGAACATGGTGTTGGGAAAGGGAACATGGTGCTGGGAATGGGAACATGGTGCTGGGAAAGGGAACATGGTGCTGGGAGTGGGCACATGGTGCTGGGAATGGGCACATGGCGCTGGGAATGGGCACATGGCGCTGGGAATGGGAACATGGCGCTGGGAATGGGCACATGGCGCTGGGAATGGGCACATGGCGCTGGGAGTGGGCACACGGCTCCTGGGGACAGGAATACGGTGCTGGAGAAGGGAACACGCGGCTCGGGCCGTTCCCCCCCTCCACCTTGGCCCCCCGCTGCCGAGCGCTGCGGGGCGGGGCCGGCAGGGGGCGCTGCGGGGCGGGGCCGGCAGGGGGCGCTGCGCAGCGCTGGGCGCGGCCGGCAGGGGGCGCGGCGGCCGCCGCCTTTGTTGCCGTTGGCGCCTTCCCTCGGCCAAGGCGGCGGCGGCGGCGGCGGCGCGCGCGGGAGCGGAGCGGGGCGGGGCGGCGGGAGCGGCGCGCGGGGGGCTCGGCTCGGCTCGGCTCGGCTCGAGGATGGAGATGAAGAAGCGGCTGACGCTGGAGCTGCGCAACAAGAAACCGGGCGAGGTACCGGTGGGGCGGGGGGGGGCACCGGTCTGCACGTGTTGGTGTTGGGGGGGGGTGGGGAGCGGTAACGGAGAGCGCCCCGCGGGGGTCCCGCACCGGGAGCGCGGTGCTGGGGGTGCCGCTTCGGGGGCTGTGAGTCCCCTTCCTCCTCCTCCTCTTCCTCCTCCTCTTCCTCACCCCCCCCCCTGTCCCCCGGCATGGCGGCGTGCACGTGCGCGGCGGGGCCCGGGCGCCGGTGGCCGGTCCCGTCCCGTCGGGTCCCGTCCGGTCCCGTCCCTCCCGGTGAGGGGTTGGTGCCGGGCCAGGCCGGGTTCCGCCGCCCCGGAGCAGCCGAGCAAGGCCGGTGCGGGCCCGCGCAGCCATGGCGGCTCGGCCATGTTTAGCGGCCGCCCGGGCCTGCCCCGTCGGGGCTCCGCGGGGCCTGCTCGGGCCCTCCCCGGCTGTCAGCGCGGGGCTGAGCGCGGCCTCCCCGGGGCGCTGGGGGGGGGACGGGACCTCGCCTTGGGGTCCCGCCCGCTCCGCTCCGCGCCAGGCCCAGGGCACCGCTCCCTCCCCGGGCGTTCCGGTTCGCCCTGGGGCCTTATCGGTGCCGGGCCGGCGCCGGGCAGCCGCGATAGCCGGTGGCTGTCACCCTGCGCGCCGTGGCGTGGGGCGCCTGGGAGTGGAGGCTTCGGTAAAGGTTGAAGCCGGTTTATGGGTGGAAAAAGGGGTTTTCGGGCCCGAAATGAACCGAGGCGGCGGAGGGTCCCTGTGAGGGCTCCGGTTTGGGGGTGAGCGGGGTGCGAGCGTGCCCTGGGGCCGGAGCGTTGCTGTTGGGTGATGCTGCCCTGGTGCAGCGCCCCCGGACACGGCCTGCGCTGGGTTAAAGCTGCTCTTGGCCGGGGGAACCCCATAACCTGGTAACGTGCAGGCTCCCCCCAGCAGTCCGACAGCAGCGGAGCCTTGGCCTCGGCCTCCTTCGCACCCACCGGGTTGGTTGGAGGCTTGCCTGGGTGCTGGGGGCAAAACGGGCTCCGCTGCGGAGCTCCGGACCGGTGCTGCCGCTTCCAGAGTCTTCAAGCGTTGATTCAGTGGGAGCTGGTGCTGCAGGGATGGCCCCGGAGCCCCGAGAAGGGGTGTTAAATGCAAAGGGACGTTAAAATGACTCCCTGATAGTTGGCTGGTGTGAGCAAGAGAGGTAAAATGGGAGTGCTGCGAAGGAGGGATTTGGAGAGCATCACGAGCCTTCTGGCCAAGGCTGAGTTTGCATCTTGCTGTGGAGATGTGTGGGGTGAAAGTGAGTTTTGGAAAGGGCCTGTGAGAGCTGGGGCTTGAGCTTAGGTGGGGGAGAAGGGGGTGCTGGGTGGGTTTACCCTGCTGGTGCTTGGCGGGGAGCAGATTGTGCTGGTCCTGATGCTACAGGAGGGGTGGTTTCTGTGCTGGGTTCCCAGCTAGTGATGGCTTCTGTGTGCGTAGCCTACGCTGGGCAAACTGAGGCCATCGGTGGTGCTGCATCGTGAGCCTGAGCATCATCATCTGCTTCAGAGAGCTGCCTGGGCAGCTGTGTCACCTCTGCATGGACCCTCACAGGGAAACAAAGCCTCTGGAGGCAGCCTTTCCAGCACCCCAAGGCATGGGGAGAAGTTAAAGGACCAAAATCAGATGACCCCATTTGGTCTCCTATTGGTGAAGCTTTAAACGTTGACCCTGAGAGCTTTTTGATGCTTTGTGTGTGAAACGTTTTGCTGCAAGCTCATGAGTCGACCCCCTCATGCTTCTTGATGGAGAAGGTTCTTGGTTGGGGCAGTGGATGCACGTTGTGTGGCTCACGCTTAAAGGGTGAAGTCCTGACCACCACGAGGGATTCACCCCTTGTGCCCTCGCACAAGTCCTTTAGCTTTAAGACCTCGTGTGTCCCTTAATGTGGGTAAGGAGGAGCTGCTGCTTGGAGGTGTGGGACAGGCTGGAGGCGAGGCTTGGCCGCGTGTGCTCACCGCTGCTGGTGTCTGCGTTGGCAGGTGAAGGAGCTGGTCCTTGATAACTGCCGTTCGGACGATGGGAAGATCGTGGGGCTCTCCTCAGACTTTGAGAACCTGGAGTTCCTCAGCATGATCAACATCAACCTGCTGTCCGTCTCCAACCTCCCCAAACTCAACAAGCTCCGGAAGGTGAGCCAGCCCCGTGCTCCCATCCCCAGCAGTCCTTGCTCTGATGCTTCAGCTCTCCTGTCCCTGGGTGTTTTTCCTGTATTTCCCAGAAAAAAAAAAGCCATTTGATTTTGCTCTTTCCTCTGTAGCTTACGCTTGGAGCTGCGACAGAGGTGTTTTTTTAGCAACAAAATGCTTTTGAGCTCATTTTATGTTTGGCATCCTTTCTCTGTTGCTTTTGCTGTTGTGCTACTGTCAGGAGCTTCAGTGATATAGAATCATGGAATGGTTTGGGTTGGAAGGGACCTTAAAGCTCATTCAGTTCCAACCCGCTGCCACGGGCAGGGACACCTTCCACTAAAGCCCCTGTGTCCAACCCGGCCTTGAACACTGCCAGGGATGGGGCAGCCACAGCTTCTCTGGGCACCCTGTTCCCCAAATAGTAAATGATTATGTTCAAAAGACCATAAATATTTGGGATTTCAGAGCATGTGCCCCTGTGTTGTGCAGCACGGAGGTGGTTGGGGGTGCTGTGGCCAAGGGGCTTCAGGTGAACACTCGGACCACACCATAGAGCTGCAGTTCAAGGGAGAGGGTCTGGAGCTTGAGTGCTCATTGTAGTCCAGTTCTCAGGGCAGTTGCATTCCCCTTGCTGCAAACTGAAGCCCTTTGTGACTATGTGATATTCCCTCCTGGCAGCTGGAGCTGAGTGATAACAGGATTTCTGGTGGCCTTGAAGTTCTAGCAGAGAGAACTCCTAACCTGACACACTTGAATCTAAGTGGCAACAAGATCAAAGACATCAATACCCTGGAGCCCTTGGTGAGTGAAAGGCTGTGCTGGGATCTGAGGGAAGATGTTGTTTCCTTTGGGGAGTATCTGTGCAGAAGTCCAGCATCTTGGCAGCACTTTGTGGTTCTCATGGGAACAGATGAGTGGGTCCAACTTGAGGCTGGCCTAATAGTTAATGGTTCCTCTGTCTGCAAAACCAGCAGCCAGTTGCTAAAAGAAGCATGAAATTGGGCTTGATGAGTAAAACTGTGGATGCAGTGCTCAGTGTCCATGTGAGAAAGGACCTTTAATGGGTTGGGTGCAGTTGGAGGTAGGTGGCACCTGAGGTGTCATGGAGATGAGCTGCTTGGGTTCCCATTGCCTCTGCACTGCCCCAGAGAAGGCTCTTGCCTTGTGATCCTGACTCTGCAGCTGAAAGGTCTCATTGTTGCCTTTGGTCCCTCCAGAAGAAGCTTGAAGCCATTTTAGTCCTCCTTTGCTTGACCTGCTGCACAGTGTGAGGACCGGAGCAGGGGAGCTGCTGTGGCTGTGCTGCAAGGCTCATAGACGCTTTCTGCATGCTCCTTTTGGGTTTGCCTCATGTTTTGGGCAGGATGAGTTCAGCTCAGTGATTCCTCCTGCTGGGGAGCTGGGCTTGTTGCCCACCCTGTTCAGAAGAGAGTATGATTTGGATGTGGTTTCACAGGGAGCTGTCTCCAAGGTGGGGAAACTAGGACAGAGGAGCTGAGAAGAAGTCTTCTTTGCCCACAGTTAGCAAGAGTAGTAACTCCTCTCCATCTGAGCAGCACATGGTGCAAATTAAGCATGCAGAGGCACTTCTGTACTAGATGTGGGTAGCAAACCAGCTGTCCCATGGTGGCTGCCTGATCTTCAAACGGTGTCAACCCATCAATAATGGAATGAATTGGTCTTTGCAGAAAAAGCTGCCAAACCTCCATAGTCTGGACCTCTTCAACTGTGAGGTGACGATGCTCATCAACTACCGGGAGAGCGTGTTCACCCTCCTGCCCCAGCTCACCTACCTAGATGGGTATGATGCTGATGACCAGGAAGCCCCTGACTCAGACCCTGAAGCAGATGGGGATGCACTGGAAGATGAGTATGAGAATGGGGAAGGTGAGGGTTTTCTCTTGGTTTCCTTGCTGGGGTAACAACCCCATTTAGCCATGGTTACGTTGCTAAGTAAATGGTGATTCTAACTTGCCACTAAAGTGGGGGCTGTCTGGGTAACCCCCCTCCCTCCTTGGGCAGGCTGGGGAAGATGTGAGACTTGCTGCAGGCTGACAGGGCTTGTTGCTGGCACTCCTCGTGCATTCTTGCTGTGATTTCCTGCCCGCTGCTCACGTAGCACTCGGGTTGGGGGTGGGAGTGTTTGGGAGCCATAACACTTACTTCCTCTCCTTTTGTTAGAAGGTGAGGGTGAGGAAGAGGAGGATGCCGATGAGGAAGATGATTTGGATGAAGAAGTCATCGATGATGAAGAAGATGAAGATGATGATCTGGAAGGTGAAGAGGAGGAGGATGGAGTAGATGATGAGGTGAGGCTTTCTGTCTTTGGTTTGTGTTTGACAGTGTGTTTGTCCCTTAACCTGGTGACCCATCTGACCAGGCACTTTGGGTGTCTGTGGGTGGATCTGGGAGTGCTGCTGCGTGCTCCCTTTTCCCATACCCCTTTTGGCTCGTCGTGTACAGAGTGTGTCAGGTCAGACCCGTTTGTTGCTCAGCCTGGTACTTCCATGGCCTCCAGGGACAGAGCTGTACAGCCCCTTCGTAGGGATGCTGGAAGCTGGTCAGGCACCGATAGCTCCTCACTGCTTGTCTTGTACCTGACCCCCGGAGGCTCGAGCAGGGCTGGAGCAGAGCAGAAGGAAGATGGTGCTGTGGAATTACACCTGGCTGGTGGGACTGTGATTCTTGCAACAAAGCTTCTTGTTTTGACTCCAGGAGGAAGATGAGGAGGAAGATGGTGAGGATGATGAAGAAGATGAAGCCGATGATGGTGAGTTGAATCCTAACAAACTTAAGCGCTTGCAAAGCTGCCTCAGCATTCTCACATCCGCTGGTTCTGTAGAGCTTCCCAGGCTGCAGTGCCGTGCTGTTGTTGCCTGCAGATCTTCCCTGATAAAAAGTGCAGCCTTTTGGCTATGGGCACCACTAAAGCCACTGCTTCTGCCTAAGCTGCCTGTTGGATAGTGGTTATAACCAAAGGGTCATACAGTGGTGATGGGGACGCAGGTTTCAGTGCCTCCTAATACTGGCCACGCTGGGTAAGTGCTAAATACTAAAGAGGCAAATCAACTAGAAACCCAGTTTTCAGTTGCTTGACCTGGTAGTCTTGTGCTGGAGGAGTACTTCTGTCACAGAAGCTCATGGTGGCACTGTGTGTGAGGAGATGCTCTTGGAGACACATGTTTCTCTCCCTTCAGCTGCAGGGCAGGGTAGACCCTTCTTGACTCGAGTGCAGACTCCTCTGGCTATAATGATGTATGGAGACCTGAATGAATGTTTGACAGGATACAGTGCCTGGTGTGACTTCACATCACCTTGTATGAGCCTGGTCCGAAGGGACTGAATTCTGCAAAGACATTTCTGGAGGTGCTCACCAAAGCAAAGCCCATTGAAACATGGGGTGTTTGGAGGGCAATAGGACACAGTTAATGCCTCGTGCCAGCCTTGGCTTTCCTGGGTGCCACGAGGAGCTGGGCAGGGTGGATCTCTGCTCCGGAATGGTGCCAGTCCTAGGCTGTGCTTGTTCACCAGCAGCTCGAAGCCCCAGTTCAAATGCTGTTCACACAAGACTGAACTGAGCTTCACGCTTGGCCTCTCTTTGCAGACCTGCCACGAGGGGAAAAGAGAAAACGAAATCTAGAGGATGAAGGAGAGGAAGATCCAGAAGATGAAGAGGACGACGAGGATGACTGATCCCAGCAACCCAATCAGTTTTACAGACTCTGACTGTGCTTGTCTTAACCTCCCCGTTGTGTCTATGTGAGACTGTAAATCCCCATCTCCCGCTCCTCCCCCTTTGTATGGCTGCAGCGTCCACAATATATTTTTTTAAGATGTAGAATCCTGTAGGCATTCAGGGGAATCTTCCACCCAAGGCTCACTTCTCACAGGTACCCATGACCAAAGGCTTTCTCCGTTCTGTGGTTTGTGCAGCAGTTTGCAGAAACAAAAAAAAAAAACCCCAAAAACCCCCAAAACCCCACCAAAAAAACCACACACAAAAAAAGAAAGAAAACACATACAAAAAAAAAACCCAGAAAAATGTATTTCCTCCTCCTCGGGTATCTTTTGTGTCTGAAATCAGCTTTGCCACACTGGACCCAGAGCTCCAGCTCCCACCCTGCCCGACAACAACAAGGCATTTGCTTATCCACATGCCCTCAGAGCAGCTTTCTGAAGACGCTTGAGCCACCTCGAGCAGTGGGTGCAGATCTGGTTCAATGGACTCCAACGCTCCCTGAGGTCTCTCTGGTCAGAAATAGTGGTGATGATGTGATCTCTGGAGATGCTTGAAGATGCTTTAGTGCTGGGGACGGGGGGTGCTTGGGGTCTTGGGAGAGGGGGGGTGGCTGCTTGCAAGACCTGGTACCTCTGACGATGCACCTTGCAGTAGCCCTGCACTTGCTTTCCTATTGGTTTCTTATAAACTGGAATCTTTTTCCCAATGGCCACCCAATAACTTCCACTTGGATGTCCAAATAAGCCTCATTTCCATGTCATTGCTGTGATGAGGCCTCTTGTCACCCTTTAGCAGCCTCTGCCTTTAGGAAGAGATAGGAAATAGCTGGTGAAGGGATACTGCACTTGTGTCAACCTCCATTTCGCACTGTACAGAACACGTTCAACCAGTATCACTGTGATGCACCTAACTCGGCGTTCCCCGGGAGACCGTGTTAGCCTCGATATTCTCAGGGTCCTTCTGCTAGCCAGTACCAGCTCTGGACACTTGCCTCAGCGCTAGCCTGGTCTACGCATCCTCCTCTTCCTCCTCTTTTCTTTCTTAGCATGAAGAGAAGTGCATTGATCAGAACCCAGCTCTCTCCCACTCGTGTTGGTGCTCTGACGGTGCCGCAGAGCAACGTGTCCCCGCACCCCGTGATGGCTGCAAGGAGGAAGCAGGGATGAGCCACGTGTAGCTCCACTACGGAGGGCTCCTCACCCTTTGCCCACCCTTCCTCTGCCTGGAGGTGTCCCCATCCATGAGCTTCCCTGGCCCCGTGGCACCCAAGGGATGGTAACTGGGTGCCGCTGAGCTGCTCCTCATGGATGCACTGGCACTTTGTGGCATTCCCGGTGGGCAACCTGCAGGCACCCAGAGGGGAGGCTCGGCAGCGGTTCCTGCAGAGGAGTGGAGTGCGTTGCAGCACATCCCAGTTCCTGTTGCTTTGGTCTGGTCTTGCTGTCGTCTCGTGTTGTACAGTAGCTGTAACCATTCGGAGCAGAATTAGTCCTGTAAAATGCAAACTGAGTAACTTATAAATGTTAAAGGAATTTTTTTAAGGAAAAAAGAAAAAAAAAGGAAATTTCAGAGCAGCAGTTACTTCTAATTAATTTTTTTTTTTTCCCTGCATTTTTAGCAGATTGTATGGATTTTATATTAGCCTAGTGACTGTCAGGTTGCGATTGGTCAGATTAGTCCCAGGAATAAGGATCTCCAGCCCCTTTTGTATCTTTTGTTACCAAAATTTGGATAAAACTTTTAATAAAGACTTCAGTTTTTACAAACCCATCGCAACGAGCCTTGTCTTGGCCTCCTCTGCTTTTGAGTTTCTTCTGGGAGCCGAGACTCCAAATAGACTCATAGAATGGGTTGGGAAGGAGCTTAAGCTCATCCAGTTCCGAGCCTGGAACACCTCACACTAGACCAGGTTGCCCAAGGATGGTGCAGGATGCCCTGGGGCTCTGTGCCCTGCTCTGTATGGAGCTCACTGCATGAGGTCTCAGCAGCTGGGGGCTTCAGCACCAGCATCTCATTCAGTGCATGTGCCCCCTGTGAGGGGGGGTCTGTTCTGCACTGGGGCAGGGAGCAGATCCAGGCCATGTGTGGACCAGAGCTGGGAGGCTCAGGGTTCTCCTGCAGTCCCCCCTATTTCAAATACAGCCTCTTCGTCCCCTCCGTACCCAGATGTGGGGCAGTGGGGACTGGGGGGCTGCCCTGCTGCAGCCCCATGCGTCTGCCCCGCTCTGTCCGTCCAGCCTGGGCTCTGTGTCCCCTGGTTTCTCTCCATCCTTGCTCTTGTGTCCCCTGGGGCTGGGGAAGGAGGCCCAGCACTGGGGTGCAGGCAGGAGTGAACCGGGGGGTGCTGCTCGCCCCTGTGCAGGGGTCACAGCAGGATGAAGGCTGCACCCAGACCCCTCCTCAGCCCCCGTCCCAGGGCAGCGCTGCAGGGACCGGGGCTCACCCTGTGCCCCCTGCGAGGTGCACCCCAGGGTGGGCGCAGATGGGAAGGGGAAGCCTCCGATCCCATGGGATCTGTGTGCTGAGGGGAGTGTGGCTGGGAAAGGGGCAGCTCCATGGGCAGCAGCCAGGGATGAACACTGGGTGCAGAGCAGTGGGCACAGAACAGCAGATGCTGAGCAATGGGTGCTGAGCAGTGGTGCTGGTGCTCCCATCCCGTGTTTGCCATAGGCAGCATTGGGCCCCGTTCCGCAGCATCCTGCCTGGCTCAACCCTCTCCCCTTGCAGGGCCGGGCTCAGCATCAGCACAGCAAAGTGGGGCCAGGACTCACTGCCCGGCTCCCTCGTGGGGTGCAGGAGGTTGCACAGCTCCCAGGGATGGGGACCAGGCCATGGATGAGCTGTTGGGGTGCAGCAGCCACCGTGTTCCCCGTGGGCTCCTCACACCTCCGAGGGGTTGGAAGCAAAGGCTCCATCTCTGCTTCTCACATATGCACCCCCCATCTATCCCTTCTTCAGGTGGGGACATCCTTAAGGGTGGCACCGCTTCCCCATTGCCACCGCTGGCACTGACAGAGGCGCTCCCGGCCACTGCTCCTGTACAATTCCCATTTATTATTCCAAGACCTCATTCCAGAGAAGTCCACGAACTCCTGAGCAACCCAACCAGGCTCCCCCCGAGCCCCTAGGGCTGAACAACGGAGCCTTGAGGGGAGGGAGACGTGGGGTTCCAAGTGCTTGAGAGTTTCCAAAGAGCAAAGGGAGGGTAGAAATGAATCGTCCATCGTCCCCTCCGCCGCCCCGAGCTGGGGATGCTCCCGGTACCCAGGAAGGGGTCCCTGTCCCAGTTGGTGGCAGGGGGCTGTGCGGTGCCCCCCTGCCTGGCTGCAGGGAGGGATGGAGAGGTGCAGGAGCAGTCCCACGGGAGCCAGGGGCATCAGAGCTGCGAGTACAGGGAGTTCTCCATCTCCGGCGTCAGCTTGGTGTGGAAGGAGGAGAGACCCACCCCGAAATCTGGAACGAAGCAAATCACAGAATCCGCGTGGTTGGAAAAGACCTTTAAGAGCATCGAGCCCAACCGTTCCCCAGCACTAAGGCCACCACTAACCCACGGCACTTAAGAGCAGTCAGCACCGCGGCCAAACCCCTCCCACCCTGATGTAGGGGCACGGGGAGGACACACGGACACCCCCCGGGGCATCACTACAGGGCGAGGAACCAGGGGCTGGAGCCTGATGCTCACCCCAGCAGCTCTGTCCCTTCCCCACCGGCGGCACGGGGTGCACACCGTGCAGGGCAGGCTGAGCCCGCTCCCCATCAGCATCCCTTCCTCCGCACCGGTATCCCAGCAGCCAGGATCCCTCCCCATTGCCTCCCCGCCATGGTGCCGTACCCATCTCGGTGTCCATGCGGCCGGGCGCAGGGGGGTTCTTGCGGTGGTCCTCGATGTGCAGGGTCATCTCCTCGCGCGAGGCGCTGGAGTAGGGGCACTGCATGCAGGTGTAGCGGCCCCGCGTGTGCTCCCACACGATGCGGCTGTTGGAGGAGTGCCCTGCAAGGACGGGCGAGGAGGGAAGCACAGCGCTCGCCCCCCCTCCCGCCTCCCCAGCCCCAAGCCCCGGGTGCCATGGGAGCCGTGCCAAGCGCAGCGCTGGGTGCAGGGTGCTCGGTGCCATGGCTCGTGATGGGTGTCACGGGGCTCGCATCAGCCGGTGCAATGGGGGCAGGAGACCCCACACTCCGAGCCCCACATCCACTGGAGGTTCCCTTCCCAGTGGAAGAACGCCAAAATCTGGGAGCAGGGAGCGAGGCTGTGCCCCCCCCGGCCCTGACATCCCTTTGCCCGTCGCCTCTCCGCATGGAGCTAAGGACAGCAGTTTCCAACCCTGCCTTGGAGCTGGGGGGGGACTGGGGAGGACTTGAGCCCAAGCAGCTCCAGCAGCTCCTTCTCCCGCTGCTTCTGCCCTCAGAACCAGGCTGGGTGCTTCCTGGGGGCACACAGCCAGTGACCCCCCCTGACTCCGAGCCTACCTGGGCAGCATCCCCTCTCCATGTGGCTCCCACAATGGAAGGAGCCTGCCCTCCCCCTGTGCTCCCCTCTACTCTCTGGGGAGCATCACGGTGCCCCATGGGGCCTCTCCCATCCCCTGCAGCCCCCACCACCGCCCGCCGCCCCCCCGAGTGACAGAAAGCAGCCCCCAACCAGTAGGTGCCAAACTAACCTGGAGTCACTCCTGAGCCAAAGCATGGGAGGAGTGGGCTGACACTCACACCTGCGGAGGGAATCGAGGGGCAAGACAAGCATTAGGGCTTCCCCTCCCTCAGGGGGGACACGTGGGGGGGCAGGCCTGGCCCGGCCCCCTGCCTCGCACCCCCAGCACGCCGGGGAGCAGCGGGGCTGGCATAATTTGGAGGCTCGATTTTGGTGTTTGCTGGCGCTTTGTCCAATAGAGCATCCCTGTGGACGGGATGCGGAGGGCACCGGAGGTGGGATGGGGCTGGGGGGGGTGCAGAGCGGCCCCACGCGGGGCTGGGAGGGGGATCCTGGGCTGGCCGATGCTGGGTTCTCCTCCGGGAGCTGCTGGTGAAGGTGGGAGCAGAAGAAGCTTTGCCCGGACGGCGCCACGCGCTCACCTTGGCTTTTCTTCCAGACGGCGTTGGAGACGGGGGGGCCGTGGCCCGGCACGTAGGGCCGGAGGCGATGCTGCGCCGCGGGCTGGGGCAAGCTGTAGGGCGAAGGGGGCACGTAGGACAGGAACGGTCCCGGCACCGAGGACGGGGGTGGCCCCGAGAACCGAGTCAAGGACGACGGCCCGAAAAGGCCGGGCTCCAGCAGCGGGAAGGGGTGCGGGGCCGGCGACACCAGCGGCAGTGCCTCCAGCGAGCCCGGCAGCTCGGGGAGGCTGCTGGGCACCGGGGCAGTGTCCGCACCGGGCACGATGGCTTCTTTCTCCAGCGGCCGGATAACGCTCGGGAGCTTGGGAAGCCCCTCGGGTGGCTTGGCCGGGGGGTCCTTCTCCAGGGCAGAGGTAGCGGGCGGGATGGGCTTGTCGGCTTTGGGGGGTGGCGTGGGGCTGCTGGCGCTGTCAGAGCAGACGTGAAGGTGCTTGAAGAGCGAGCGGTGTGTCCGGAAGCGCAGCAGGCAGTTCTCACACCTGCAGGGCCAGCGGTCAGTGTCAGGGATGGGGTCCCCTCCACGTCACCCCGAGAGCATCACTGACAGCATCCCCTCCACGTCACCCCGAGAGCATCACTGACAGCGTCCCCTCCACATCACCCCGAGAGCATCACTGACAGCGTCCCCTCCACGTCACCCTGAGAGCATCACTGACAGCATCCCCTCCACATCACCCCGAGAGCATCGCTGACAGCGTCCCCTCCACGTCACCCCGAGAGCATCACTGACAGCATCCCCTCCACATCACCCTGAGAGCATCAGTGACAGCGTCCCCTCCACATCACCCCGAGAGCATCACTGACAGCGTCCCCTCCACATCACCCCGAGAGCATCACTGACAGCATCCCCTCCACATCACCCCGAGAGCATCACTGACAGCGTCCCCTCCACGTCACCCCGAGAGCATCAGTGACAGTGTTCCCCTCCACATCACCCTGAGAGCCTCAGTGACAGTGTTCCCTCCACGTCACCCTGAGAGCATCAGTGACAGTGTTCCCCTCCACATCACCCCCCAGCCCTAGCCCCAGTGTCTGCAAATGTAGCATCTTGTGTGCCTGGGGCTGTTTGGGAGCTGCTGGGTGCCCACACATAGGACATGCTATGGGAGTGGTCTGCAGGGAGATGGCAGGTCTGCTTATCAGGGCCTGTAGGGATAGGACAAGGGGAAATGGGTTTAATTTAAAACAGGGGAAGTTCAGGTTGGAGATAAGGAAGAAGTTCTTTACTATGAGGGTGGTGAGGCACTGGCACAGGGTGCCCAGGGAAGTGGCAAATGCTCCACCTCTGGCACTGTTCAAGGCCAGTCTGGACAGAGCCTTGGGCAGTATGGTGTAGTGTGAGGTGTCCCTGCCCATGACAGGGGGGTGGAACTGGATGATCTTAAGGTCCTTTCCAACCCAAACCATTCAATGATTCTCTGATGGGATGGGGACCAGCGGGACTCACTTGAAGTAACGGTTTGGCTTGTAGTGCACCTTCATGTGGGCCATGAGGTCCTGCATGCTGGGGAAGGTCTCTGTGCAGCCCAGCGTGGGGCACTGGAACGTTTTACCTGGGCAAAGAAATAGGGCAGAGACTCAGCAACAATGCAGCTGTGCTGCCCCAGCCCCACAGTGGGTCTCCGGCACCTCCTATCTGATGCTGCGCAGCATCT